GGTGCTTTGAAACTGAGGAGAGACGACCAACGGCAGTTTCTTAGCGGTAAACACGCAGACTTGTGTCTTAGTGGGGTTAAATTGGACCAAATTAAGTCCACCCCAATCAGAGATTCTCCCTAAAGAGGTCTCGATTTCAGACACGAGTCTGTTTCGGCTCTCTATGACGTTTTCCCGAGAAATGTTAGCGCGGCCGGTGTAGTAGGCATCGCCTGTGCTGTCATCCGCATAACAATGAATGCCGCTGATTTGCAGCATGTCATTGATATGGAGGAGGAACAATGTAGGCGATAGCACGCAGCCTTGAGGGACGCCTGCATTTACAGACATCAAGTCAGAGCATTCACCGTCGACGACGACTTTAATGCTTCTGTCTGCAAGGAAGTAGGAGACCCATTTGCATAATTTCTCGGGAAGTCCGTAGGAAGGAAGCTTCGAAAGAAGCGCTCTATGCCAAACCCGATCGAAGGCCTTCGCCACGTCTAAACTTACTGCCAACGCTTCCCCCTTAGACTCGATCGCCTGTGCCCACCGATGCGTTAGGTAAACAAGGAGATCACCAGCAGACCGACCTTTACGAAAACCGTATTGCTGGTCACTGAGCAGCTGATGATCCTCTAAGTAACGCAGGAGCTGGCAGTTAATAATGGACTCCATTATTTTCGAGAAGAGGGAAGTTATGGCTATCGGGCTATGTAATGTAATTTGCTCTTTCTTATCTTGCAGACATTTTGGAGGGACCCCTCGTTCACTCTAATGACGACGGGCATCCACTGCGCGATGGCGCTCTTCATAGGATTCCTATTTTACAACATCGGACATGACGCTAAGTACGTGCGGGACAACTACAACTTCTTGTACTTCAGCCTTATGTTCCTCATGTTCACCGCTTTCAGTGGTGTTACTATCAGTTGTAAGTATATCTTATTTAGTGTTTACTTTTCACTTAGGTAAAACTAATTTTTCCTCTTTATAAGTATTTAAACGCAACAAGTTTAACTGATCATAAAGTTACACAGTAGTTGCGTGGGTGAACTTGAAAGCGATGGAGCAACTGCATCTGACTCAGAACGCGTTACGAGGCCAAGAGGAAGCCCCAAATGAATAATATTAATCAACAGTTACGAGTTGTAATGTTTATGTTGTTCCTATTTTGCTAAATACTTTTTAGAGATTTGTATATAGTATGTAGAGACATTGCGTGTTCTTTGATACGAATGCTCTGGCTCTGATCCAAAATTCCGTAGTATATTATTCTACAAGAAAAACCAAAGAAATAGTACTAATTGGTAGCTCAAAAGACACAACAAACTATTAACTTTCACTACTCATCAGCAAAGAGACACAATATTTATTATTTCTTAAACAATAATACGATTCAACAAGTCAACATAATAACGGTACAATTTTTGATTCACAGTTCCTGAACAAATCCCTGTGATCCGACGAGAACATTTCAACAGGTGGTACACAACGGGTGCCTACTATACTTCGACTATAGCATCGACATTACCAACACAGACTGTGTGTACACTGTCGTACGCCTTCATTGTGTACTGGCTTACTGGACAACCTACCGAACTACGGCGGTTCGCCGGCTTCTGCTTCATACTGCTCTTAGTATCCTACGTTGGATTGTGCAAAGGACTGCTTATCGGATCCTTATTTAACGTTAAGGTTTGTATTGACGTTGATATAATTTGTATGACTATTGCTCAAATAAAAATTAATAAGTAAAATTTGGTCTTTAAAACCGGCTCTAATGATGGACGGTAATCGAATATAGTAGAGTCGAAAATGTAAATGCTTGGGGTTGACGTAATCATCGTGTTTATGCCAAAATAATTTCGTCGATTCTTTTCGACTGCCATAAATACATAAGAAAAAAATATCGAATACTTACTTATGATTTTTTATTTAGCAATAAACCCTATTTTATAACAATTGTCTATTTCCAGAATGGAGTGGTATTCGGGCCATTCTTCATAATGCCGTTCACCGTGTTCTCTGGGTTCTTCCTCCGATACGACGATGCTCCGTTCTTCGTGCGTTGGCTGTTCCAGGCGTCTTTCCTCAAACATGGCCTTGTGGGCCTCGTACTATCCATCTACGGTATGGACAGGCCTAAACTCGTGTGTTCAGAATTATACTGCCATTACTCCTACCCTAATCTATTCCTACAAGACAACTACATAGTCGGTGAAAAGTTTTCCATGCTTATTCTTGCACTGTTCTCTATAGGAATTATTGTATCAATATTTGCTTTTATCATATTAAAAATAAGATTAAAGAGCAAATGGTAATATTTGGGGACTGGACATGGATTGAGTTAATGAAAGTGAGACGGGATGTGAAAATCTCGTCATCTTAATACATAAGTATGACAACGTAACTAGTCTGTTCGAAGAGCGAGCCATAGAATGCACAGGTATATGTGTAGTGCCAGCATTATTAATTATGATATTTTTACTGGAATTTCAATAAAAAAACAACTACATCGAAAGAAATTTCATTAGTAAAGGCTAACCTATGCCTATTTTAAAATATTAAATGTCACAGAAATATCGTCAAGCAAAATATCAGTTGTATAAATAAAGATGAAAACGATGCGAATGTTCGTCATCAAAATAGGACAGAATTTATTTCGGAGACAAAATAAATTGTAATTTAAAATATGCTAGACATTCCAATGTAAGTGTAAATATTTTATATTTTAAGGATCAGAAATAACTATAGTATGTACCGTTATCGCCAGCTCAAAGTGTTTACATTATAATTTAAAACATGATGTGTACAAGTATGTAAGTGAATACCAATTGTAAAAAGTAATATAAATGTGAACTTTTATAATAATTGTTGTAATAAAAAATATTTCAATAAGTTCTTGTAATTCATTAATAAACTAGAATAAGAAAGTAATATAACAATGTATAAAGTAGATCAGCGAGTTACAGTAAAGGCATGAATTCCTTAGTATTAGGGGTACGGATTCATCAGACCTTACCGAAAATTTAATATATATATAATAAAATCATCAGAATACTACCTAAGCCACCCTAAGTACTAAAGAAATCACGTACGTACCGAAATAAAGTTCGTTTATTTAATACCAAAGATTACAATTATCATTACAGGCATGCTGTTTTTAAATACATACATTACTACAAGTAACTATGGAATTACAGTTTTGCTAATCAATGAAAGACAAGATTTCAATAAACAAATTACAGACACATTAATTGATACTTTAACTCGTCGAGTACTGGTTTTGTAGACACAATTATAGAACAATAGGTTGCGGTCACCGGTGACCGCTTGGTGTTTGACAGTTTAATAATTATTTGCAAGAATTAATTAATGTGTTCCAAAATTAAGGAGAAATTAGAGGCAATTCGTTTGGAATGCACCAGGGTATCATTTTGGGTCCAACCCTGTTTTTCTAAATATTTCACGCATTCCCGTGTTCCGTGCGAAGATATTCAATTTCGATTCGATTTCAAAGATATAATAATTGATTTTTAGTACCGTCTTATTAAAAACAGTACATTAATTTTAAAATGCTATTTTAAGTGTACGATCAAACTATAAAAATAAACATTACAAGAGAATGGGTGATTGGTAATTATATCTTTATATATCTTAAAATTAACATCCTCAGAAAACTAATACAAATTATCGATCAATGGAATACACACAAAGAGATTATAATACTGATTATTTTAATACTTTTTGGCTAAATGTGATTTATTCGTTCTAAAGATAACGTAGGGGATACAGCAAAATTAGAACAATTTTAAGAATTTTATAAAACGTCGCAGAAATTATTTACCTAAATGCAATTTAATTATATTGAAATCATTTTATTTTCTATTCTTCCAATGTGAATAAATATTTTTTTGCAAATTTCGACACGATTTTGTTTTTCTTTAGAATCCAATGTTCCAATATCCTTTACTAATTTACAGTGAAATATCTTTATGGAAGATGACATAATATTTTTACTAGATATTTGATATTGTCGTCCTAAGTCGTTCAACGGCCTCCGAAGAGCTCGGGAGTCCACAACGCATGTTGTGAAAATTTTTATGGAAGCCGATGAATGAAAAAAATTATATTTTAGTAATAAAAATAAGTTAATATAGAATCTACAATTATTTTGTTTTACTAGGTACCTGAATGATGCCATAACTTGATTAGAAAATAAATTTTCTTGAAATATTGCGTTTCCTAGCAAGCGTCATTTACGTGTCCGATCATAAAAAAAGGAAATGGACTTTACCTCACTAGGTGGCTAGAAGGTACTTCTGGGTCGTTTATCGCTCAGTATGCAGGTAATAATTACAAAATATACCTTCAGTGCATTCACTTAATACCAAAATAAATGAATTATCTTATAAGAAACAAAAAATGTTGACTTGCCTTGCCTTGAGTGCACAATTAGTGCGATGACTGGACAACTGGCTACCACGCAACATATCGCGGGTTCGATTTCCGCACGGAGCAACTCTTTGTATCCACAAATTGCTTTTCCAGGTCTGGGTGTCATGTGTATGTGAACTTGTATGTTAGTAAACGCACCCACAACAAGGGAGAAAATTCTAGCATGGGGAAACGTTATAAAAAGAATTACTTCAAGCATCCCAATTTTGTGAAAATCACATAAAAGGCCGGAAAAATTTTGATCCTAACCTTAACAATATCTACCTATATTTAATTTATCGGTGGTAATTATCGCGCAGGACATTCAAATTATAATAAGCTAAGATAAGTAAGACTGATCATTATTGTGTATCTAGTGATAAATAATTATAATGAAGATAAATATCACAGTAGTCGGGGTACCAGGGCACCGTGTACTAGTGTGTTACTGCGTACTGTGTCTCGGAGAGGAAATCTCGCAGTCTTGCGACCGGCGAGCGCCTGCATCGCTCCAATTTTCCAATTCCGCATAATACGTGATAATCATCAGCATCCGTCCCACTTCGTGACACTTTAAACTAAGATAACAAAGTTTTCTGATGCCAAGATGGACGTGGAAGCCGCTCGAGATGATATTAGTGTCGAAGATGGAAGTTTTATTGTTTACACCGATATATTTTACACAGTTAAACTATCAAGTAAGTAAGTCTAATTATATTTCGTAAATAACAAAGAATATAATTATTTTGATCAAATTGTCATGGTTTAGTGTCATTTTAAATGTCGTGTTGAATTACCTTTTGCCTTTTGCTATGACGAAATGTATGTGAAGGCAATCGAGTATTCATTGCGTTTGTATACCGTGCAAGCTGTATTCTAGCAGATCAAATATTCCTAGTACTAGAACAACATATTACAAATACATGCTGCATCTATTTATTGACAGGGATATTACTTATTCTCGCACTTTGTACCTACGCAGCAAATTATTAGCATACTTATCAATAGAAATTGCATCATTTTCAAACTAAAATTGATAAATAACATAATTAAAATAGTTAAAGAGATTATGTACTTAAAGTATTAGCGTTTGTTTAATCATAATCAAATAATCAGATGTAAAATATAGAACTATCGTGATCCAGGAATTAAAAAATTTAATCGTTTTTAATGCTTGGTACTTAGTGACTACTCCTTACGTTACGGTATATTATTATGAATGTTATTCCCCTAACCTTACCATTTATTATAAATGCAACCACTTTTTTTATGTAAGTAGTCTATATACTGAATACGAACGGAACTAAATTAAAAATGAATGTAGTTCGGTTTATACAAAACAGCGATTCGTTTTTTCTATAAAATATCCTGGTATTATTAACCGATAGATGTTTATTAATCTAACCTACTAAAACTACTGAACTCATGAACTGATTGAGGTAAATATTGACCAAAATTAATTTAAGTTTCAAAGTAAATACAGAAGACAATTTTATATAAAAAAGCATTATTAAATTTAATTTTAAAATGCACGTGTATCAAGAATATAACAAATTAATTAACGAATTTGGTCATTATTGTTGTAAATTTATGTATATTATTATTTATGAGTCAGAAGCTATTCACATTTACAAGAGATAACGACTCCTGACATTTGTGTTTGTCAAGAACTCGTGTAAATGGTGTAAATAAATTAACAAAACTTCTGTAAGCGACTTCACTCACATATAAATTAGAAATTTTCGGTGGAAAAGGTATCGATCCTATAAAAAAGTGGGGATTAAAAATAAAACTTAGGTACATAACTCCTTGAAAAACGGGGTATGCAGTGGTAAATGATTTTTTAAAATTAGTTCAGTAATTTCGGAGCTTCGTCATTGCAAAAATATAAACGATAGTAAGACTTAATTATCTTACCTATTAATGTCTATTGTCATTTGTATATACATAATATTTCTTCTATATTTTACATTTAAATTCAGTACCTACTAGCTCTTGTTCCCGCCATATTGTCTTTTCCTACGACATTAAGTCCACCTAATGTACACATACAATATGCATGGATCTTCAATAAATAAGTAAATGTACTTAATTAAAATAACATGTGTCTTAAAGGCACAATGCTTTGGAATATATAAATTGGTCTGTTTCATAATTTTGAACTTACTTCAAATACTTTGAACTAAAAGATATTTAAGTAGAGCAAGTAAGTAAAATTTTGAAGGCCGACTGGTTGGTTATACCTATGCCAGAAGCTTTTGCACATTACAAAAATATGTGCGTACGGTTATGTACTATTTAATCGACTTCAGCAGAAATATAAAAAAAAACGAGAAACAGTAAAGAACGTTACCTACTCTCAGTAAGTCAAGACTGTATTGACAGTCAGGTACTGATACAATTAAATGATTTACTAGAAAACAATAGTTAGGTGCATCATTAATTTTAATTCTGTTTGATATGCTTCTCCTTATACTACTCTACACTATGTTACTTATACACTACGTTCTTACTATCAATCAAATTACTATCACAAGTCTCAACAAGATAATTTGACGAGTTTGAAGAGAACCCTCTCTACGACTGCGATGTAAACGGTATGTTGATACTACCAGCCAGTCTCATAAGCGCTTGCGCACAAATCGCACGCATAGTTAAATCAATGCTGCGTTCGAAATAAACCGTTCCATTTTCAAAATATTTTTTTAAACCATAATGGATGTAGAACTTGGTGCCCGTGATGAAATTAAAAACAAATGTGATGTGTCCGTATTTGTGGACGTACAGTTCAGGATTTCTAATGGTAATTATTTTATTGTTGTTATATTAAGTGAAAGTTTTCGCGGCAATACTTTAGTGTTACGAACGGTGTAACTGCTCGACTATGTTCATTTCATATTTCTACATACAATACTTGAGATAAAATATAAATGAAGTGTTTCTAAAAGGATATAGGATATGTGTATCAAGGTTTTAGTGAGAAATATACGTAGATAGCCATAAGGACAATAATTAGTAGTCATATATATAACTTAAAGATGACTGCAAAATATGGGGACTATTAGGTACTTTTTCTTCTATTATCTAAAATAAAAGATTTTAAGTAATGTACCTATAAATATTTGTTGTTATTCAAGACATGCTTCTCCTGTATTTGACCTTGTACTTAGAAGTCTGCATAACAATATTTGATTGACCACAACTGAGGACTCTGTCACACTTTGATGTAATTGTTTTATTTGTATCTAATTTATTAAAATCTAATTCCGTAAATAGAGGCCAAGGTAAAGTCTTCATTTACATGCAAAAACAAATAGTTTCATTTACTAAAACATCGTACTTTGTTACCCTACCATACCTACGTACCTCTCGAGACAAACCCTAGATATCGGGTAACCGGGGCTCCGGCTCGACGTGCAGGAGAAGGAACGGGGTGGTTTTTAGTCAGTAAGAGTCTGACACTTCCTCCCGCCTCACCCAGGCGGGAGCAGTCATTCGATGATTTTCCCCCCTTAAAAAAAAACCCTAGATATCGTACATTGGCTTGTTCATATTCACCCCCAGTTTGTGTCCTTTGTACTGATCGCCACGAACGTAAGATACTAAACACATGTAGGATCAAACAGATGTATGCTAGTAGGTACTTCCAATTCGTTGGTAGTTTTTTTTCTGGAATTTTTAAAGGGCTTCCCGTAACACGGACGCGAATAGGTGAACTTACTCTGCATTTAGATATACTTAATCAATTTCTGTAACTTTCCCTTGGTAAGTATAGTAAAGATTTCATTTGAAAAAAAATCTCAACTCAGCATAAATCCAAAGATGCAATACTGTTAATATTATTTTATGTTTATTTGAATTGTTATTTGTTTCCTTGTTATTATTTAACTCTGAGCACGTGCTACGTGGATTTCCGTAGATGTAAAATATTTTATTTTAAGTATGTAGTACCTATATTTGTATGTGTAGGGAATGAGTAAGTCAGATTATCCGACATATTATGCTATATGATTCGTGGGTCATTCCAACTCTGCATCGTAACGGAACGGAATTCGCAGAATTATAAATATCCTAGGTCTAAGAAATAGGTAGGTAGCTATATATACAACCTTGTAGTACACAAATCATTTTTTCTTTCTTATTCTATTGGTTTATCCTACCTGCTATTTATTAACCAACCAAGCCATCAATTGATAACAAATTAATTAACAGTGGATTACCTCCATATGTACAGATGGATACTAGATTTTTTTGGGAAACAAGCATGCATGATATTGTTTTTAGTAATAATTGGGTCTGTAGTAATTCTTCAAATGAGTTATCAGTGTGGTTATCATTGTATTTGGCATATTTTTATCCCGGCCTTCCTACGCAGGTCAAATGGCCATTATCTCCAGAACAAATACGTCACAATCACTTATCTATTGTTTCACTCATGGTCCAATGTTTGACATAATTAGTTAAAACTTTAAACGCATTCAGCTAACAAATATAAATGTTATGTTTGTAAAAAATACATGGAAACGCCTATTAAGTATATGAATTGCGTCGTTTCATTTGAGGTATTTCACGAAGCGCACCCAGATGAAGCGCACCTAAGGTGTTCCGTAGAGCACGCGTATGTGGACTTTAAATATAATAAAAAAATACACGTGCTACATATTAACCTTTAAAAACGTATGACATTTGTTTAACCATAAACACAGGGATATTATTCGATTTTAGTGACATATTATGTAATATTAAAATACACAATTTTGAGACATGAATGAATTAAACTTAAATGTGTAATATGAGCCTCATACTAACTAAAAACATGTGAAAATCTGCTATTTGGTCCAATCTGCGTTACTAGATTTTATTATATGATATTACGATATTATGCTTATAATATATAAGGGGCAAAGTTGCAGTATTTATGCTCCTAGATTTATATCAGTTACCATGCACACGAACATCTGAAGTGATTGTTATCATCTACATTTAACATAGGTAATGACAGCAATGATCATGACCTTACCACCATGTCCTCTAATTATATTATTGACTAGCTTCTGCCAGTGGCTTCGTTCGCGTCCTCGGGGGTTAAAAGCCCACGTATTAGTCCAGACTATAACCTAACCTTGTCCCAAATTTCATCCCGCTTCTTTCAGCCGTTTTGATGTGACTGAGTAACAAAAATATACACAAACACGCAAACTCACAAACACACAAACTCACAATTTTTCCCATTTATAATAGCGGTTCAAGCTAATTTCGACCCAGTGGCCCTACTGTTATAGCGTAAAGTCCACAGCGGGCAGCCTAACATTCGACGAACTTATATTTGCGATAGACACAGTATCTGTATCTAGGGATTTAGCTGCACAATTAAACTGTCAAACACCAAGCGGTCACCGGTGACCGCAACCTATTGTTCTATAATTGTGTCTACAAAACCGGTACTCGACGAGTTAAGTATGTTTTTAGTGTACATACTTTTTCGGCATAAAAGTACCTACACAGTGTGATGCCCCGTACCCTAGTTTCATCGTAATCGGACCGGTAGTTTTTGCGAATCTTATAAGTATAGATCGATTATAGTAATAACCTTTAATTATATCAGTAAATGACATTCTAAAACTAATTCACTCACTGATAAGATTATTTGCACTACAGAGGTATATGAAAGTTTGATATGAATAGAAAATAGGAACAT